TTTAAAATTTTATTGAAAAAATTTAAAATTTAAAAAAGTTTGCAGGCAAATTTGGCTGCAAAACAATTTAAGGGATAGTAATTTGCTTAATTATAAAAGCATTTCAAAATTAAAGCACACATTTCTATATTGTATTTGAAGATTACATAGCATTTTTCAGACTTAATTACACTATTCTTTACAATCGGCTTAATATAAAGAATTCTGTTTTCGTTAACTTCAAAATTCTTGCAGTAGCAAACAAAGTTGGAATATATAGTAGGAGTGATAGAGCTTTTTAAAAGACTATCTGGGAAAGTTCCTGAACAAATATACTCAACTATTGTTTGATATTCATCTACTGTCTTGAGAATTTTGAAAATTGGCACCATATTAAAAAAAAAAACCTCTTCTGTTTTTTTTTTCTTAAGCAGGTAGTGGGCATTACTTTTTTTGAGTGTTGCTTTTCTTTGGATGCATTTTGTTTGCTTTTAAAGAAAAAACCTTTGATTCGATTGTTTTTTTTGATAATCAAGTTACATGATCTGGAATCAAGTTTAGTATAAGGGACCCCACTAATAAAATTAATTAAAATTGATTATTAATCAATTGAATTAGAGTAGGGTTCCTTATATTAAACTTGATCTCATAATCTGTTTTAATCATGTTGATTATAGCTCAAATTTGGATTGATGTATAGTTATGGGTTAATTATGAGTTATATAGATTTTACGATAATCTGATTTCATGATAATTTGCGATATTTTATATTTTCAGAGAATAAAATAGTTGCTTGCTATAAACTTATTGTTATTAAGTTCTGATAGAGTTTTAAAGAATCAGAATTAGATTCATATTCTTTGAATATTAACTCTTTGTTTGTAAGTTTATAGTTTTGCTATATTGGTTTACCACCAAAATTACCTTTTATATTTGTGATATTTCTTTTTGAATAGTCATAAAGCAAGATTCTAGCTAATTTAGGCTATTTTTTATTAGTATTTGTATTATATTTATTTTTTATATTATCAAACTATTCTGTATTATTTTGAGAAAAATTATTATTGCGAAGCAATGACCCTTCGGGTCTTAAAGATATATTTTGAATAGATAATGATGATATATTATCTAATAAAATTAAATCATCTACTGGAACTTAGTTTTGAGTTAAAAGAGTTAAAACCTTGAGATTAGGTCTTTGCGAAGCAGAATACTTTGTGTCTATTTGATTTGTAGCTAAATTTTGTAGTAATAGTATTAGAGCTATAATGGGATTTTGAATATTATTGCAAAACAATGACTCTTCAGGTCTAAGTTTATATGAAAAATTTCAATTTAAGTGTGTATCTTGATCTCAAGTCTTTTTAAAATTATCTTTTCTACATCTTAAACATGGAGGTATTATTTTGTATATAAGTAATAATAATCTGTTGTTTGTATTAATATATTAGATCTTTTGTTTAAATTAAAATTATTCATATTTTATATACCATGTTTGGTGATTATACTTGTGATTATTTACATAACTCTGGTAAAGTTTGTGAATATGTTGTCTATAATCTAAAGGATACTTTGATTATTAGAAATCTAAAAAGCATTATCTTTATATTGTTTGTAGTAAACCAACTAGTGCTGAGCTTAAAATATGTAAAAAACATGCTAAAGGGTATTATATTATAAAATGTTTAGATAAAAAGAAAGGCTTACTGCAAAGCAAGATACTCTGTGTCTAATGATATTAGGTATATTGATGTTTATTTTTTTTTAACACGCTTGAGTAATATGAAATTTATTTTTTAATTATTATCCAATTTAGCTATATAAATAAAAAATAGATAATTTTAGCTATATAAAAATTTACACCAAGCTATATTATATAAAAATAATATAAAATAGAGCAAAATAACAATTAAACCGATTTTTAAACATTTTACATATACTTTAGTATCTAGAGTATAGAAAAAGTAGACCATTCTGCCCTACTAATATGAGAGTTAGCAAAAACCAATTCCTTGATTGTAGCAATAACTTCTAGGTAGTGACTTCATAAGAATACCCAGAACAAGACTTATTTTCAACCTTCTTATTTTTAGCTTTAAATGTAGCAATCTAGCAATTAATAGTAATACTGCTTGATCTTCTTTACCAATTACTAGTTTGGTATATATTTCTGTATGTTTTTTTATTAAATAAGAGTACAATAATATTGATTTTGTTGACTTATGTTTACTTCAATATTTTTAATTAATAAATTTTAAAAAAATTTCTTACTGATTTCATTATATATAATATACTTTTAATTTAATAAAGTAATTTATAATAAGTCAGATATATAGGTGTATTAATTAGAGCGCTGACATTTATTAGGTAATATTTTAGGGGGTGGGAGTCAAGCAAAACTTTACCTCATATAAAACAATTATAGCCAATTAAATTTAGCTAAATATCTTATCTGAGGGTGGGGGGTAAGCCTCTATAGTAAATAGATATTAGGTAATAAATGTCAGAGCCCTTATTTATTTATAGCTATGATTTGTATAAAAATCTAACCTTACTAACAATAACAAGACTTATTATTCCACCTATATAGTAAAAATATATGATATTTATTATTTATACTATTACTACCATATCCACTATTTTTCTTATATCTGTCTTTTATAATATTTCTTCACATTATACTCTTTATGCTATAAATAGTAGATCTAGTATTTTTGGCACAGCACTCTTATAATTTAAATTCAATTTATAACTTTAATTTTAATTTGTAACTTAAAAAATATGTGATCTTTTTTTTAAATCAATATTTTCTTTTGTTGCTTTTTCTTTTTCCTCACTTTTTTATTACTTTTTCAGTAATTTTTCATCAATTTTTGTCATTTTTTTGGTATACTTTTGTTACTTCTTTGTGGCTTTTTTGTTATTCTTTTAGTGGTCTCTTTGTTATTCTTTTGGTAATGCTTTCTTTTAGGTCAATGTTAGATTAACATTGGGATCAATGTTGCTTAACTTCTTAGATAGCATACCCACAAAAATTGTTTCCCCTGTAACTTTTACTAAGAATTCAACATTGTAGTTTGGGGCTGGGTTAGGATTAGAGTTAGGAAGAAAGTTTCTATTAGTAAAATTTCATGAGAAGCATTTTTAATTAGATCGCAGAGGATGGTTCTTAATTTAAATTTTTTAATAAATAAAAATAAAAAATTTTTTTATTAAAAAAATTAGGTTTAAATGTCTTATAATTTCGGAGTTTTTTTTTCTTTTTGTTTTAAAAAAATATATCTTAACAGTATCGTAGTGTTAGCGTTAAGATGAATTGATATTAATTGAGCTAGGCCATTATTCTTCTGCGATGATGTGCATTGTGGCTGTGTTCCGCGACATATCAATTTTTTTTAATAGTATCCATAGATTATAATTGAGTTTTAAATTAAAATTCTTTCATATAATGAGATGATAATTTTGTTACAGTATATGCAGAAAGAGAAAAATATCTGATATGAAAAATTAGGTAATATAACTAGGCGTTTAAAAAGAGTTAGAAATGTATTATATTATACTGGCATGTTATGAATCAGTTCTAGTATAGTTCTTGTGCAATTCATCAAATATTTTATCAATTTCATATTATAATTATAGAAGAAAGATATAATTTTATAAGAATTGGTTTTTATTTTATCATTTATCCACCCGGGTGACCCGCCCGGTTACCCGGGTCATAATTTTTCAGACGACTATTCATTTCCATCGTCTTTGATTGTGTTGTTGTTGGTATCCTCCACCTCCTTGCCCACCCCAACGTTGACCTTGCTGTTGTACACCAGGTCTTGGTGTAGGTCCAGTATTCTGTGTTGCCCATTGAGGGCGCAGTTGTGGTGAAGGATTTGATGGTATATTACTACGTAACATTCCAAGTCCAGGTACATCTTCGACGTTGACACTACTTGTAGATACATAAGAAAGATCACCTCCAATATCCATTGGTCTAGGTGGTGTGAGATCTTGATTTTGATCCATTTGTACTAATGGCTGTGATGTTTGTACAAAATCTGTTCTAACTGCAGGATGAGGATTCATAGGAACCGGAAGAAAGCCGCTCATCAAGCCACCATTAAAGAATGTTAAACCTGGAACAGGATCATCATCTAATAAGTAGAATTTGTGTTAGAGTTTGTTAAAGACCTGAATAAGATCTAATATGTAAAATTTAACAATACCTTCATCACTATCTACATCTTTTAATCCGAGTTCTTCAGCTTTCTGTCTACCCACATGATACTTATCTTGAACCGTATCTCCAGGGCGTGCTCTTGTCCAAAATCTTGTTGAATGATCATTTGACCCCGAGACCAAGATATGGCCAAGTGGATGCCAATCAAGTGACCAAACATTTTGATCATGGGCGAATTCCACAGCTTCCACCAAAGTATCTTGGCTAATAAGAATAAATAAGATTATGCTAAAGTTTATATAGAAATTTATTATTACAATTTCATTATGAAGCCAAAACCAACCCAACAATCCAGAACATTAAGCATCCATCTGAACCACCAGTTGATAATAATCTTTCGTGAAATGGATGCCATGATATAGCCGTTGGAACTAGCAAATAATATATTTAACTAATTCAGTAATATTCTGATTTACACAAATATCATTATTCAAATTTTAAATTTTAATACTTACAACAAACTTCCTTATTATGCCCACGAAATGTTTGTAAATCTTTCATCATTCTAATATCATATATTTTAACTAATTGATCTCTAGCTGCTGTCCCTAACCAATTTCCATTTCTATTCCATTGCAATCCAAGAATTGTATTTTTATGCCCATGTCTAAAAAAAAAATTTATAGCATAATATTAGTTATGGTTGAAAAAAAAGTCAATATCTTTTATGTTATATTGTTACATACAGTGTATAGACACTCTTTCCCGATTTAGGATCCCAAAATTTGATTAAATTATCTTTAGATCCAGATGCTAAAAGCGATTTATGTGGGTGCCAATCAACAGCTTTAACATCCCATCCATGACCTGATCAATTCAATTATTATGAAATTAATGTTGTAAGTTAGAGAGAGAGAGAGAGAGGGAGAAAAAAACCAACCAGATAATACTCTTTCTTCAACACCCTCATTAAAGTCCCATATTTTAATAGTTCCATCATCCGAACAAGTTGCAAATTTTGTATCAGTAGGAGCAAAACTATTATACATCAAAGGTAAAAATGTATAACAATTTCATATAGTTAAAAATAGGATTTAATAATATAAAAATATTCTTAAAAGTACGCACGACAAATCTCGAATTGCTTCTTTATGACCTTCAATCATCTTCAAATTATTCATGTTGGATTGCCAATACTTTATGACACCTTTATGATCAGCTGTTACCATCCAGTTATCGTTGTGGGACCACTTCATCGTTCGAACTGCTGATTCATGAGCCTTATTAAACAATGAATAAATTTTGTCACAAGATCAACATAGATCGATGGGAAGAATGTAAATGTAAGATGGTAAATTTATATTCAGATTTTGCTTTTTGTCGTATAATGCGAATATACAATGGAAACGAAAAAAAAGAAAATCCAAGAATAATATATTAAAATAATATTCTTGTATCATTTGTTATTTAATATTTTATTATATTATACTAATTTCTATAGATAGTTAAAGGGGAATTAATCAATAGGTATTCGATATATGGGAACCCCCACAGCAAAATAAGCCAGTGGGCAAAAAAATTTTTTTTTAAAAAAACTCAATTTCTCGAAGAATTGAAGTATTAGAAATGCAATTTTTATAAAATTACAAAAACAAAATTTTTTGCCCACTGGTCTGTTTTGCTGTGGGGGTCCCCATATGTCAAGACTTGTGATCAAAAAACACTTTTTGTAAAAACTAAGACTTGATGTAATAAATTTTATTTGATTTTATATTTTTATAAGATTACATCAGAGAACAAAAAATTATCATGCTACTTCTGCTATACTATTCTATAATCCAAATCTTCGTTCCTTAAGCAATTTATAAAGCAAATTTTATGTAAAGACAAAAGTGAATGGAGTTGATGCATACCTGTAAAATAGTCTCAAAGTTGAATGTTAATCCATTCCATAACGTAAACTCTCCGCTTGATAATCCTGTAATCAGGCGTCTGCCTTCAGGCGTCCACTTAAGTATTTATAAATATATATTAATTATCATCTCATCCTCAACTATTTCACTAGATCACGGTATAATTTACTTACTCGGACAACATTGACAGGATATCGATTTTTATTTGTTGACGTGTGAACATATTTAGTCGCGACTGCATTTACTGGGTTATGTAAATATGCAGATGGTGGAAGAAGCTATTTAAAATGAAAACATATGAATTTATTTTGATAGCAAAAAAACTGTTAAGCAAAAATGTAGAAAACAATCGTGCTTACATCTATAATAAAATTTGGTTTTGGCCGCAGAAATTTCATATCTCTTTGATCTCTTATCCAAATTCGATCCTATATTTATAAAAAGGTTCATTAAAATAATTAAAACGAATCAAAAATTAAAAAGTAATATTTCAAATAATTACCTGCAAAAATTTACCAATAGAACAATTGAAATCAACTGTTCTCCTCTGAATAGCTTTTCTCATTCTTTTACCGTCAAAGACAGCTCTTTGTGCATTACTATTACTACCATATCCCGCATGTCGACTCCCATAAGATTTTCTTATAGAATAACCACTGTTTCTAGTATCGCCTTGTACAGTCGTTTGTCCGGTGCCAGTGATAGTGCCACTTCCTGACAAAGAAACTGTAACAGAACTAGAAGTATTATTATTATTACCTAAACCACTATTTTCTTCCACTTCCATTACTTCTTCGCTTTCTAACATCGGGAAAGTATTTTGATTTTATAAAACTTTGAGTGAAGCTATCTCGATAAATACCAAGTCAATTTTAATAACTTTTTTTATTTGAATTATACGGTTCATAGAATTCAAATAAAGAAAAAAGTTCATCGAATTTGATTTGGGAAGTTGTCAAGATATCTTCGTTCAAAGTTTCAAAAAATTTTAATTTACAGGGGGGTATATTAGATTTCCAGATTTCCAATAATGTGATGTACGTCAGTAGGACCCCGAATAATTTATGAGCTTATATTTGGGCATCATAGTAAATTTTTTTTTTTTATATAAACAGTCATGCTTTTATTTATGTGAACCTCATATAACTATCATAAATGAATACAACAATTTTTTATGAATGTGGTTCTAACTAATAAAAACTACCCAAGCATAAGCCCAAGTCGATCTGTTATAACAACTGTTTGCTTCTTTCAGGATTCAAAACTTTCAATGGATTTAGTATTATAAAGATACTCTTTTGATACTTCGTTGGCTGTTGTATGGCCAATTCATAACTGTTAAACTTTCCTTTCTAATTCTTCCTTCTTCTCAAGGGGCACGAGACAAAAAAAGGAAAATTTTCAAAACAGGTTGTATGAAAACGAAAGAAAAAGAAAAAACAAAAAAGAAAAAAAAAACAGATACAAATTGCAAAAAAGAAAAAACAGAAAGAAATATAACAATCTATGAAGCACTATTATAACCCATGCCAGGCAAGTATAAAAATTATATAACAAATACAATATTTGTATATCTTTACTGTAAAGCTTTGCTTTAATGTTAAATTTACTTTTTGACCTTCCTATCAAATCTAAATAGCTTCGCTGTCTGTCCTAATTCGTATCTCAAGCTGGGTGCTGCTGTCATCCGAGAACCCGTATCTCGAGCCACCTACTGCCACAATTAGAGTTCCCAGGTCGAGTCCCTTGAAGTAGCACCATATTCATCTGTAAACAAATATGTAGTTGCATTTCACTAATCTGTCCAGATTTGGGAAGTAAACAATGCCAATCTTTTGGAGAGGGTAAGCCAAATTCCCACTTTTTGTTGAAATTTTTTGAAAAACCAACAGAAGGGTGAGAAGGAGTAAAAGAGGGACCACTTGGCCAAGTAAAAGAGTGCGGCTTGAGAAAAAGCAGAGTTTTGTTGTTTTTTCTGTGTTCTTCTACTGGAAGTAACAGCCTAAGTAACTTCGTCAATGGACAGACTGTTGTCTTTTCACCAAAATTTTGTATCCAAGGGTATACACCTCTAGCTAGTTATTTTGTATACTAACACTTTTGGCTTGCATGTCGAATGCACAACTTATAGAGGAGTCCTGGAAGAGTAAAACCTTTGACCTTTAGGCAAACCATTACATTAAGCTATGACTCTCCAACAAAAATTTTGTTTTTCTTTGGTAGGAATTTTTGGTCCAAATAATTATTGTGAAAAGTTATTATAAAATTGAGTAAATTTTTTTTTTTGTTAGCACTTTTATATTGATATATATAATCTATATTTCAAATATTAATAAATAAGAATTTTAGTTTTCTTTACCTTTTTTAAAATATAAGTATGTTCTTTAAAAAAAAAAAACAGAAGTATATTCTCTAAAAAAAAACAAAAGTATATTCTCTAAAAAAAAAACAGAAGTATGTTCTCTAAAAAAAACAAAAGTGTGTTTTCTAAAAAAAAAAAAAAAAACAGAACTTATTTTATATTTTTTATTAGCATATCTCAAATATAAGATTTATAATATTTATTTTATTAGCATATATTTTATTTAGTGATTATTTGTTTTCAAATATGAGAATTACTTTGTTTTAATCATCATCAGTATAGTTTTAGAGAATACATTTCTAATAGTTTTTTTTTTTTTATATTATAATATGTTAGATATTAGGTTTAATTTTAGTTTTTGTAAAGTTTTTAAGGATTCTAAACATTTTTACTTAGAATACCTGATTCTGTTTACTTAGTAGGTTTTTGAGATATATCGTATTTTCTCCAAAATAAGCTACCACCTAAAATAAGCTACCCCTCACTTTTGAGCAAAAAACCAGAAATTCTCTTTTACCTGAAAATAAGCTACCCCAAATTTTTCAAAACCTTTTAACAGTTGTTATATATAAATGTCAAAATTGTACTAAGTAAATATATATTTTGACCTTAATAGAAGTGTTCAGAATTAAAAAATACACATATTCTAAAAGTTTTATACAATTTAGATGACTTTTTATTAGTAACATTTTTGCATTTAAGTTCAAACTTTACATGCAAAATGTTACTAATAAAAAGGTATTAAAATTGTATGAAACTTTCAGGATATGTGTATTTTTAATTCTGAACAACTTTTATTAAGTTCATAACATATATTTACTTAGTACTATTTTGACTTTTATATATAACAACTACTTTTACTT